CATCAAGTGAGGTAGTTTGGATTTGGCCAGACACATACTGCACATTGGCTCTCAGATGTAAAGCCTCACTCCTAATTTTCACGTGTGTGTACTCGTCCTGGGTTGATTGTGGGTAGGCCTCAGGGAATTATCCTTCAATGCGCCATCTGGAAAGTGATCCACACGTGTCCTTTTGTAGCAGAAAGGCCAGAATTGGTAACATAGCCCCACGTTCAGGGAGCTGGGAAAGACTGATAATAATTTTACATAATTATTCTGGGGCAGCAAGTGTTTCTGTCCAAAGCACCCAACTTTAAATGGTGGCACACAAACTCATTAAAACCCAGACTTCTGGTCTCCTATGAGGAAACTGGAAGATCTGAACTTTGGAAAGAGGAATGTGTCCCCAGTCCCCTGTGGGCTCTGTAACAACTGACCCTTGATCAGCCGTCCCTTCAAACCCTGGGACACGGTATAAAAGGAACTTTTATTCACTTGATTCAATTGTTGCCTGGGAGGCTTACTACCTCCTTCTTCTAACCTACGCCTAGTCCTGGAAGCTTCTAGCCTCCATACATTCTAACCATGGCCTAGAATGTTTTCAGCCTCTGAAATATACTGCTGAATAAGTTCACGCTTTCTTGTTCTTACTGAGCACTGGGCTGGCTGGTTCAACTCAGCTGTTCTGGCACAAACTCCTCTCCCAACTAATTTATTCAATCTGGCTTTTCTCTCAGCCTCTGAATTGCTCTGTTTGGCCTCAAACTAACTCAAGCAATCTGCTCTCATCTCCTGGCTCCTTCTCATTCTCTGGTTCATTCAGTCTTCACCTGAGTTCTGCAACCTGTCTCTCTAATACTGTCTCCGGTAAAACAAACAAAACTGTCTCCTCTCTCTCCCTCCCTTCCTCTCTCTCTCATTGTCCCTTAAGTAGCTTCCCTTTCCTCTCTGTTCTCCTGAGAGTTGGCATATCCTATTCTGTCAAGTCTTTCTTGGATTTGTCACTGTTTCTGGCACTTAGACATCACTTTCAAACACAGGTGCTTCCTTCTACCAACTAACTTCACCTTCATAGTTTGGGATTAAAGGCCTGCACCACCACACCTGGATCTAAACTTTTCTTTATCTGAAACTCTGTATCAGGCTGGCCTTGAACTCAGATCCCTTTATCTCTGTCTCCTGGATTTAAAGGCATGTTTGTAGTCCAGTGGATCACAAAGATCCAGAAGGTCTTTGAATGTGATCTCTTGCCAGAACAGCCATGTTCTGAATTTAAATCCTCTAAAACATGGTTACATTTTTGTTTGTTTGTTTGTTTGTTTGTTTGTTTGTTTCAGAGACATAATCTCACTCTGGAACCCAACCTGAACCTCAGTTTGCCATGATTCTCCTATCTCAGGTTGGGATTACAGGAATGAGCCTGACTTGCATTTTGTGTTACTGCAGTATGTACAACTCTGAAAGAGCTAACTTTTTGGGGGAGTTTATGAATCTTGTACGCACTTCTTAATCCCACAGCGTGCTGAGCTGTCCTTGGTACCAGAGATAAGTGGTGAGGCAGAAAGGCACAGAGGCCTATCCCATCATCCCACCGTGCTCCTGTGCTCCTGGGAGCATCCCTTGATGAAGCAGGATTATAAAAATTGAAGAGGCCCCAGGTCAGAAGCTTTGCCCCAACCTGGCCAGGGTTGGCTCTGCTGCTGTGCACTGGGGCAGCAGCTAAGGATAGGCAGAGAAGAAGACTTTCCTGGCGCCCAGCACCACGAAAGCCACATTAGAGGAAAGAGCTTCAAGAGTTCTGGGGCTGTGTGCAGTGGGCAAAGCTGGGGCTTCATGCAGGACACGGGCACACCCTGGATGACGATGCAGAGGAAAGCAAGGGAAAACCCCATTGCCCATCATTTCCAGTAAACTCTGTTCTTCCTATAATGAGCTTTCTCAAAACTGTGTTGTCCCATGTGTCCATGGAACCAGTGTCGACCCAGAAACCCCAAACACGGGCATTCCCCAGGATGGAACACTTCTGCTTAGCAGTGTTTGAGGAACTATCCTGACAAAGAGTACGTCCATACTTTCCACAAGTCAAGCAGGCAACCCAGCCCTATTGTGAAACCCCTGTTGGCAGGCAGTGCTGCATTGCTATGGAGATCAAAGCCTGTCCTGCGAGGGGCCTGGCTTCTCTGCAGGCCACGGCTGGTCTCACTTTAGAGTGGGCAGAGCTGTGTGGATGGCATAGCTCTTAGGTTGCCATTAAGCCCCATGATCCACCCCATGCCCTTCCATTTCTCCTGACCAACAGTAATTCTCCTGCCTCTGTCATCAAATGTCCATTCAGGGACAGTGTTCATCTTGTGGGTATCTGGCAAGGAGAGAGAAGGAGCACACTGTTCTGGAAGTGGGGGATGAAGAAATAGAGCTTGCATCAGTACTGAGGGTGTGCTGGGCTTCACCTTACGGCCCAGCAAATAGGAAGGACCCTTAGGAAGGGTCCTCAGCCAAGAAGCTGTAACTCTAGCCTATCTCTACTTTCTGTAATGGGGTGGGGTAGGGACATTGGTCTCAAATTATTAGGTGGAAAATTCTAGAAACAAATAACTGGTAAGTTTTAAACTGAATGCCATTCTGAGGAGCAGGCTGAAATCCCCCCCACTCGACTTCTCCCTGCCTAGGCTCGAAGCGTCCCCTGAGTCCTTCATGCACACTCTGTGCATTCTGTGCCTGTTAGAGGCTACACCTCTGTCATCAGAAGACTGTCAAGGTATCAGGGCTTGGGTGTAGGGAACCCTTGCTTTACTTGTTTGATTTAATAATGTACTGTCTAGTCAGACACACCAAGAAGTGAAAGCCACAAATTCTTCACCCATTAAGAAATAGTGATGTAGCAGGGTGTGGTGGCACACCCCTTTAATTGGGGAGGCCGAGGCCGTCAGGTCCCTGTGACTTTGAGGCCAGTATGGTCTACAGAAGGAGTTCCAGAACAGCCAAGGCTACACAGCAAAACAAACAAACAAAACAAAAATAAAAACAAGCAAACAAGAAATAGTGATGTAGAGGGCTGGGCATGGGGGGCATACACCTTTAATCTCAGCACTCAGGAGGCAGGGGCAGGCAGATCTCTGTGCGCTAGAGGCCAGCCTGGTCTACAGGAGTTTCAGAACAGCCAGGACTATGCAGAGAAACGCTGTATTAAAACAAAAAGAAAAAAGAAAAGAAAAAGAAATAGTACTGTGTTATGTTGCTAGACTCTAATAAAAATGAGTCTCCGTCCATGAATATTCTGACAGAAAAAGAATCCATGTGAGGTTTTCTGTTTGTTTGTTTGTTTGTTTTGCCTAAAACTCTACAAGTTGTGAGCACAATCCAGTTACGTTTGTAACTAAGCTGAGAAGGCGTTCAGTCACAAGTTTGGGGACCTTTCACAGTCTCGGGAATTCAAAGCATACCTACAGGTGAGAGGGGGTAGCTATAATAGAAGATGCCAGAAGGATAAAGAAAAATTCTTGTACTTTATTTTCCATGGAAGCATATGGGCAGGCCGGAAGGCCCTCAAGCTTCTATGGTTGCAAGTGGAGAAGAGATAGGGAGAGCTTCAAATGTGAGTCAGCCACGGTACCTGGAGGCTGGACACAGCTCCACCTGGCTTTTCGGGTTAAGAACTCACCGAGAGCATATTAAAGAGTGGAGAAGTTAAGAGAGCAGAATCAGACACCCACACAGACTCTTGTGTCTGAAGAGTGCCCTATTATTGTTCGTTGGATGGTTTGGGGCTTCACCTCCGTCCTGTGTTCTCACTCATAAGGTGGGAACATTGATTTTAGTGCTTCACGGGGTCATTGTGAGGACTAGAGGATTCACAGGACTGCCCTGCAGCCCAGAAGGAGTAAGTGCTGATGGATCCCCACTGGCAGAGCCGGCCCAAGGGAGTAGACTCCAAAGTAACCAATGGGATCACTGCCCCAGCTCAGTGGGAAAGGAAGGAGAGGACTAGGTTATCTTAGGAAGACTCTAGAAAGGCCGGGAAGAAGCCATCATCAAAAATGTCCACCCAAGAGAAAAGAGAATGTGGCTTAAAACGAGTCTTGGAGATCCTGTAAAACTTTCCCCAGAGGGACAGTTGGGCTAGTTCCTTGACCTGATGCTCCCAACTTTAACCACCCTGCACTTGGGCAAATATGACGCCAGGGTGGATAAAGGTTCTCATACCAGAGCTTTCGGTGCTGGACAACACTGGATGGGGCTCCGCCTGGCTCCCCAGTCAGCACACCCGTTGTTATAATACAAATTACACATGGCACAACCAACAGGTAGTGGTTCGGTGAAGTTTATTATGGGAAAGGCAAGACAGAGACTACGGGAATGCTTAGGAGAGGAGAATACAGGGTGGGGAGGGAGACTGACAGAGAATCAGAGGGACAGGCAGAGAGGAGGAAGAGAGAGAGATGGGGAGAGAAACCAAGGCAGAGAAAGCATGTAGCGAGGGGCTGGTTCCTTTATATGTGGCGCATACACACACCTGGTGGCAGCAGGTAATGACGTCAGGTTGCTAAGCAACCTAGGAGTGGGCTAGTGGACTCGTGAACTAACACCTGTCCTGGCTAGTTTTAGGTCAAGTTGACACAAATGAGAGTTGTCTAAGAGGAGGGGACCTTAACTGAGAAAAATGTCTCCATAGGACCCAGCTGCAAGCCATTTTCTCTAATTAGTGATTCATGGGGGCGGGCCCAGCCCATTGTGGTGGGGCCTTCCCTTGGCTGGTGGTCCCAGGGATGCTATAAGGAAGAAAAAAAGGGGCTGAGCAAGCGATGACTGATGAACAAGCCAGTAAGCAGCACCCCTCCATGGCCTCTGCATCAGCTTCTGCCTCCGGGTTCTTGCCCTATTTGAGTTCCTGTCCTGACTTCTTTTGGTGAGGAAACGAGTAGGGCCTTTCCTCCCCCAAATTGCATTGGTCACGATGTTTACGCAGAGCCATAGAAACTCTAACTAAGACAACGCCCTTCGCCTCGCCATCTTTCTGACAGGTGACTTCTGGGTGTGAAGACGGGAGCTGAAGATGAAGGAAGACTGCTCCTCCAGTTCCCACGTGCCCATCAGTGACAGCAAGTCTATTCTGAAGTAAGTTTGAGGGGGCAGGGTAGCAGGGTCGGGGGTGGGGAGAGCTCCGCAGCCACCCGTGGCCCAACCTTGCATGGAGGCCAGGATGTGGGTGTTAGGGCTCTTCAGATGTGGTGCCATGCCCTGGGGACAGTGGTGGGCCCTTTTGTTGGAGGACTGCCCTTCTGCGGAGATTAAAGTAATCTTCAGGATATGGTTTGAACAAGAAGTGGGGTGCCCACAGGGCGCTACAGTGACAGTCTTTAATTTGTTTAAAGACTAGAATTATATGGACACTCTTTATTGTATAAAACCATTTAAAATTCTGGTAGTGCGTTCTCATGAAAAAAAAAGTGTACCTTACAAATGTATTTTAACTTTGCTTATTTTTATTTACTCTATCACATAAAAAAAAAAAAAACTACTTGGAATGTTTTCTCTGAACCAAAGAAAAGCATCTTTTTATTACAGTTGTGTGTGTGTGTGTGTGTGTGTGTGTGTGTGTGTGTGTGTGTGTGTGTGTGTGTGTGTGTTTGGGGAGGGAGGTGTCTGCCACATCAACTATGTGGAGGTCAAAAGACAACTTTTGGGACTCACTCTTCCACCACGTGGGTCTCAAGGATCAAACTGACATCACCAGACTTGGCAGTAAGAGCCTTTACCTGATGAGCCATCTTGCCAGCCTGAGACCCATATTTTTATTTTTTTAAGGTTTCCCCTCCCCATTTTATTTTGCATTTTGAGTTCTGAGTATGAATCCTTTCTAAAATTGGACCTGATTATCTTCATATACCTGTGTATTTCCCAATAAGTCTGTGTCCAGCCTGTCCATATTTGTGGACATGGGACAAATGCAACATGGAACCCTTGCTTGCTGCTGTCACTAAGTTGCACAGGGCTTTCCCTGCTGGCTCCCCTCATCTCCATACACAGGACACACACCTGCCTAAGCCCCAGGCTGTTCTCTCCCTGGGGTCCATCAGGAGAGCATGGCCAGGGAGGCAGAGCACACGCTAGTTAACAAACTGATTCCACGTTGACAGACAAGCATTCTGAACCCTCAGTTCAGAAGCTAGGCCTTGCTAGTTTCACCTGCCTTTCCCCCCTGTCAGCCTGCTGGGAGGTTGAAAAATCGCCTGTGTGTTTCACACCCCAGAGCCCCCCTAGCCTGCAGTGCTGTGCTGATTTTCCTCACCCTGACCGTCCCATCCCCTCGAGCACTATGGCTTCCCAACGTGCTGGGACAAAGTGTTTGGGATTAGCGGCCTGCTTGGGCGCTGCCACCCTCATCCCAGGATGCACCCCTGGACAGTCAAGACAGGGAGCAGGTGGCCCCCACCTCCCTCGTGGCCCCACAGCAGCTCGTAATCCAAACCACCGAGGTCTTCGGAGGCTACAGGTCCGAGGTGAGCACAGGGAGCCTGTTAGGACTGCTCGTGGGCAATAGTGAACATATATACATACATAGCGTAGGTACCGCCTGTGGGGTGGGAACCTGCCTGGGAAGTCTGCTTCCTCCAGTCCATACAAGGGCCCAGATTCAGAAGCTGCTGGAAGGTCAAAGGGCATGTGTTGTGACGAGAAAACCAGTTCTCTTGGTTTATTAGATGTGGTTGCCCGCCCCAAAATTGTGTGCTACTGTATTTATTTTACGGATGAAGAACGCGAGGTCAGCGGTACCGTGTTCCAGGCCCCAAGTGGACATGTGTGTCTGTGTCTTTTTAGGTCAGAACTCTTAAGCCTGCTCAAAACCTACAACTGCTACCATGAGGGCCGGAGCTTCCAGCTACGACACCGTGAGGTGAGGCCCACGACCCTCTTGGCTTGCAGGGTCATCCTTCGGCTCTGTCATTCCCAGGGCAGTTATGCGGCCTGGTCCCTTCACGCTCCACGTGTGCCAGTTTGTCTGTTGTCGGCCTTCCTAGCCAGGGCCCAGGGGACCAGCAGGCAGGGTGGAGCTGAGGTGTCCCTGTGAGGCTCCCTAGCGAGGACATCACCTCGCTATGTGTAGCGCTGTGCTTATGGGCATGAAGTCTTGGAGGCTGCCTAGCCCCTAGCCCCGTCTTCCCTCTGCCCATCATGCTGGGGGAGGGGCTGTGAAGGGAGCTTGGTCGCTCTCTGCTCTTCTCACACTTCACACACAACAGTGTACCAGCAGCTCCTGCTGACCCCATGCTGAGAGCGAAGCATCCCTGACACTCAGTTCATGTATGCCACACCCGTTTTACCCGCTCATTGCCACCTCACCAGTTCAGCCTCTTGTCCTGGACCCTCTCACAGGGGCGCTTTCACTGTGGCACCGTCACCTGATCTTGGGGTACAAGGTCATGTGACAAGGGGCAGACGGGAAGTCGGATCCTGATCAAAAGTGACAGCCAGCCGTCAGAAGCCACCCAAGGCTGCAATGTGGGGATGTGGCCCTCGTACAGACTGATCTTTTTTTTTTTTTTTTTTTTTAAGAAGAGGCTAGATACCTGGAATTTCTTAAAGGGGCGTCTAGCAGGGTCCAGGCTGGGGTCTACATCAAGCCAGCCCTGGACTTCCACCATCCATCACCTCACGACGGTACTTCAGTTGTGGCTTTGTACTCCCAGTTGTCTGTAATCCTGTACATTTTGCAGTCTCAGGGGAAGGCTCATAGCGTAAGGTTCTATTTGGGGTATTTCCACGGTTGCTGGGTCTGCTCCACCTCTCAGTGTCTGAAAGGGGCCCGCAGAAACTCGAAGAGGCGTCTTCCGGAAACTGAGCCCTTCAGGGACTAAAGTAACGACTGCGCCAAAGGCCAGCGTAGTGAGCCTGGGAGATTCTAATGGGAGATAGTGAGGGGTGCCTTACAGGAGCAGAAGTGGCTCAAAGGCAGCTGTCACAACAGCGCCACCCACCGTGGGTGACGGTTCGTGAAAGCTGCACCCTTAGAAACTCTGTACGAAGTATAGGTAGGGAAACTCACCTTTCGGCAGCTGGCTGGCTGGGAGTCTCCTCCCCCAGCAGCTACATCGATTGCCCTGGGGAAGGCTCTGGTGAATCTTGAGTTTCCCAGATGTGCAGTTTGTTTACTTCCGGGATATCTTGAGCCTCCCCTGCTCCTTCCTGGAGGGGCCTGTTCTGTTCACAGGGCTTTGGAGTGAGTGAAGCAGGCTGGCGTTGCTACCGCAGGCTGGGTGTTAAGGAGAGCAATGCCATTGCTGGCTTTACGGTCTAGAAGGTGTGGGAGGCCTGAAGAGGCCTAGGACACGCGGCAGTTTATTATTCTGGATCCCCAGGCTATAAGGTTCCTTCAGGTTGCTGAAGCACTCACCACTTGGGGGGTGGGCCTGGAGAGACCCTCCTGATTGTCATAAGCCTCGCTGGTAGCAACTACAGTCTGGGTGGGGGGTGGGGGAGAGGGACAAACTTCCTCACTGTCACGTGGGATGCCTGTAGAGAGACGAGGTGCATCTGTTGGATGGGGCCACTCCGTGGAACTACAAGGAAAGGGTGACCTTTCTCCCAATTACTAAGAGCTAGCGGGAGCGATTTCACTCCCCGAGGATGGTGTGCCAGCCCCCTTTACTGTAAACCTTGCCTTTGGGATACTTTTGCTTCTGTCACGAGGAACGGTGTAACTGCTAAGACAATCAGTACCTTTCGAAGTTGCCGTTTTCTTTCTGGAAATGCTGATTGCATGAACCTATCAGCGTGAGCAGAGACTCACTAACCCCGCCCAGGCTGTCAGATCAGGTTTTCCCAACCCGCATTGATGCTAAACCTGGTCCACAGTCTCCCCCTGGTGGCCATACGCCGCACTGCACCTAGTTCTATTCTGTTCCGGATCTATAGTGTGTGTTACTCAAACAGCATCTCCTTGTAAGCTTGTACGTCTTCCTTGTACTTCCTTGTACTCCTTCCCTAAAAGGATTGGACCGCACCCCCTCTCTTGGGCCTGGAAGATCACTGAACACTGATGTGAGCAGGTGGCCCTCCACACATCTATTCCCTGGGAGCTGCAAAGTGTGTACAAGACTGTTGCATTTCAGCAGTGGCGGGGCGGGGGGTGGAGGCACAGCACCTTCTCAAGTTGCCGATTAGCGTCTTTCACAGTCCCTGACTGCCTGCACAGCAGCATGACTTTGAGCACTTGGGACATTCATCATAATGCTTTGCAGAAGGGGACAGAGAGAGAATGGGTGAAGCCGGCCTCGCCCATCTGGTCTCCAGCCAGGTACTCACTCTGCACTAGGTCAGGCTTCCTAGCACGCATGGGGACATTTTACCTAGCGATTGCGTTATGGAAGGCCAGTTTGGGGCTACTGGGGAGACACAAGAAGCTGTGAAAGATGCAAACTGCATCTCTGTCCACGTCCATTTATCCAGCTTTCGCAAGCCTAGCCTGTTAGGGATGAAGGACTATGTTGTTGTCCTGCATTTAACAACAACAAAAAAAAAGAGAACTGAACAAATCGCTTATCTGAAACATTGTCTCTTGGGTGTGTGGTTTACATTCAGCCTCAGAGGAGAAAGGATACGGAAGTGATTGAGGCCACACACCAGCACACACACCACACACACACGCACACACACAAACCCACAGAAGGAAAAGAACAGTTTGGCAGTGCACGGAGCAAACCCCAATGCAGCCGCAGTTCTGTCTCTCCTCTCCTGGACTCTCCCATCCTGAGCACGGTCAACTGGCCCCAGCCCATACAAGAGAGAAGGCACTGGGTCTTGAGTCCTGATTCTTTTCCACTCTCTGAGACCCCATCCCTGCCCTCTGAGAAAGGAAACCCTCTCGTCACCGACTCCCCATCTCTACCCTCCTGCTTGGAAAATGCCTCCAGGAGCTGGCATTCTCTGGGCTGTGGGCACTCGATGCTGACCAGATTTGCAAAGCCTTAGGACACCCAGACTGAGCTAGGTCAAGGCTGGACAGCTTCCTGTTGGAGCCCCTTCCTGTAACAAGGGCCCAGGTGAGGATGGTGGGTACACACAAGGGCAGGTAGAGACCAGGCCAGACGCAGGTATGTGGCAGCCTGTGGGCTGTGTGCTGCATGCTGTTTTGGTGCTGAGAACTGGAACTCTTGGCACCACAATGAGATCTGGACACTGGAGCCAAGACAGCAGGTTCCCCGGGTTGCTTGGTCACAGTCCCTGTGAAAACAGAGGTACATCTACCGAGACCTCATTCATTTTGTTGGGCCTCAGGAAATAACATGACTCCTTTTGGGCCTTGAATGACCCTTTCACAAGGGTCACCTAAGATCACTGGAAAACACAGATAGAAAGTAGCAATGAAAAAAAACTTTTATGGTTGGGGATCACACAACAGGAGGAACTGCAGTAAAGGGTCGCCGCATTAGGAAGGGTAGGAACCACTGCTTTAGGGAGCCAAGACCCCCCCTCGTGGCCCTTTGTCCTTGGTTTCACATGAGACTGCTGTAGCCACCCAGATTACAGCCCACATTTCCTCATTAAAGCAGTCTGGGAGGCGGTCACTCCGCTCATACTCATTTTAACCATGATTAAAACAAAAAACAAAAACAAGAAATAGAGACACTGAGTCACCCTTCAAGGTCACCAGCCAGCCAGTCATAAATAGACAGTAGGTTGCATCGTGAAAGCTGGGCTGCCATCACTCTTTAGAGGATGGGTCTGAGGAGGAATTGCCCAGTCCCTGCACACCTGCCAGGAAGTGTCCACCACAGGAGAGAGAAGCTGGGGAGGCCACAAGGACGCACCGTATTCTTTATGATCTTTCTCGAGGGGTTAGAGTTCATGGATCACTGGCAGGTGCAAACACAGAGAGCTGAGGAGGCTGCTGGGGCGAGAGCTGGAGACGGCGGGTAAGGCCTGGCAGGGCCTTCTGCAAGTCCAGCTTTTCGGGTTGGAGGTCTGGCGTCTGTGCCCTGATTTTCTTCCCAGAGAGTGCTCAGGTACCCTGGCCTCACAAGGGCCTCTCCTGTCCTTGTCCATCAGTCTGTGCATACCCCAGTGATCAGAAGGGCCGGTCCCATTGGGTAGGTCTCTTCTCTCTGTCTGCTGTTCCTGGGACTTCCCGAAGAGCCAGTCTAGAGGGTTGTCAGTGCCAGGAGATGGCAGTGTGGGCTGGAGGCTGCTGAAGCGAGGGGAGCTGTCTCCGAGGGATGAAGCCTGGGGTCTCTTCTCTCTAGTCCAGGCCGGCCGGTAGGGTCTGTTGGGTCGGCTCCGGGCTGTGACTTTGTCCAGCACCGAGGCGGGCTGTGCCAGCTGACAGATAGACCTAACATAGTCTTCCAGGCTGGGAGAGCTTGGGGGCTCCTGTCCAGGTGCCCCATGTGATAACTCCTCCGAAGTTTCCCGAATCGTTGGCAAGTGGGGCACGGGCAGCAGAAGCCGGGACCTCATTGCCTGCTAACAAAGCAAAAATAACCTGTTGGGCAACAGAAAACAAGCGGTGAGGGGCTACCATGTCATCTTGACACCCTCTTCCTTCCTCCCCCTCATTGGAGAAGCTATACAGGGCTCGGGTACCCAGAAAGCAGTAAGAAACCTGCAGATCTGAGACCAGGGCTCATCCCCCGGCCCTTCCTTCCTGCTGGCATCAAAACCCACATCTAAGACTTCATCGTTAGTGTAGTTTAAGAATACCCAGGTCACTGGGTCCGGAGAGATGGCTCAGCAGTTCAGTGTACTTGCTCTTGCAGAGAACCTGAGTTCAATTCTTAGCACACACATGGTGCTAAGCCATGGCTTAAGCCACATGTAAATCCAGTGGTGGGGAATCTGACTGGCATGCATGTAGTACACATATATTTGTGTAGGTAAAAATATTCATACATATAAAGTAAAACAAATTAAAAGTTTTAAAACAAAGCGCAAACAGGTAAGAGAACCGAGGGTGCTAATGTAGGGGTCAGAAGACACCCAGGTTTTAAATCCATCTCTGCCACTTGATGCTGGAGAGCTTTCACTATGTCACCTCTCCAAATCGCTAATTACCCATCTGAAAAACAGGGTTATAATCAGCCTACTGGCTGGGGATATTATGGGAAATGCCGGGAATCATAGCTCTGCGTAAACACAGAAGCCTTGAATAAACACCTCATTGCCACAGTCATCGGAGGCACCCCGGTAGCCAGGCTGTAAAAACACGGGGTAAGAAATGCCTCCAGAGATAAACTAGGCCTTGTGTTTGAAAAGCTTCAAAACAGAGGACAGTTGTTCCTCTTACCTGTAGCCCAGCAGACGGGAGTCTAGAGGAGTAAAGAAGCACCCAGAGGCGGCAGTCACAGCCAGGTCTCTAGCTCTTGAGGACAGTCAGGAGAGAGAGCGTTGCTCAGGTTTCTTCCCCCAGCTGTCTGACAAACCCAGCACTGCCTCCTGCTTTTAAAGGGTTCCTCCAGTCATCAATCACTGTCAGGAAAAGCTCAAAATAGCAGCTCTTAGGAAGGTTCTCAGGAAAACAGCGTGAAGGGCGGGACTTGGCCCAGCTGCGGGCCTGCAGTCTGTGTGTGTGCCCGTAGGAGGTTGGGAAATGTTTACACGGTGGGGTGAGGTGTGGGGCAGCCACTGTGCCTTGACTTAGACAGCTTCACTACAGGGAAAGATGGAAGGCAGCTTAGGGGGTGCTGGGAGAGCTTGAGAACACTGTGGGTCTCTCACAGGCACCTCTGTCTGGTGTAACACAGCCTTGCACTAATTTCTGCTGAGTCCCAGGCCTCCTGCACTGTGACCTTGATAACACACGAGCCTTGCAGGGCTCTCTAGCCTGGCATCTCCATGGGCCTGCTGCTAAGTGAGGGACGCCCCCTTACACAAGCAGCAGGACTGCCTGAGGGTCTGGTCTGCTCTCTCTCATCACATCTCAGATGGGACGCTTTCAAGGGGAAATTTGCCTACTCATTGCCTGCCAGGTTTATGCCAGTGGCTGTTCATGGCATAGCTAACAGTGTGGACAGATCATCCCCCTTGGAGCTTGTTTTCCAGTGAGAAGGAGTCATCTGTGGGCAGGTGCGGTGACTCAGCAGTCATGATGGCTGCGAGGAAAAGTACAGAAGGGCGATGGAGCAGGGTCATAGGCCGCCGCTGTGGGTGGGGCTGTCAGGAGCGTCTTCTCTAAGGGTGGCATTGGTGCAGAGATCTGAAAACAACGGGGCGGTACATGCAAAGGTCCTGTGATCATGATGTGCTGGACACGTTCAGGGACCAGGGGGAGCCTGTGTCCAGGTCCATGGTCCAGGTGAGGGGGGCCAGAGGATACCAAAGCAGTGGCAGGGCGCTGCGGGCTCAGGCAGGGGCTGCAATGTGTCTTCTGCCAGCTGCCATGCTCAGGCTGTGAGGAACCAGGGGGCTCCAGGGGTGACACCCACACAGCCACAGCTGAAGACAAGGCGGACAACTCTGGGAAGGAACCAGCAGTGCCTTTGTCAGGCCTCAGAGCCTCTGCTCACCTGCCCTCGGGAGCGGAAGGGGAATTACAGAGGGCACAGTACTGCTCAGGTCTGTGTGAGGGCCGGACAGACCCCTAGACCCCTGAAGCAAGGAGAGCTGCTGCTGCCACGTCCACACATGGTATTGATGGAGTAGGCACATGGGACACTGGAGACACTAAACGATGTTTAAGTCAGGTGGCAATTCCTAACTTACACCCTTAGGACTGTGTCTGTTTCTCTGGCTCTTAGAATTGATTAGTGACGGGCTGATTAGTTGAGAGGCTCACCTAAAGAGGAAGGAGTTACCTGCCCAGAATGCCTGCCTGAGGGGTGAGTTCAGGCCTCTCTTGGTTGGCTCTTCCACCGGGCGAGCAGACCCAGGTCCCCAGCTATGTACTGTATCCTGGCAACCCTGCCATGGCTTCAGCTTTCTTTTGATTTGATCAAAGACCACTGCAGGCTGGGCTCCACCTCTTGTGAAACACATACATGTACATACACACACACACACGCACACATACACACAGGCACAAGGGCACAGAGACAGTTGGATGAGGACGTGGCGAGCAGAATTATGAAACCACAGTGAATGGGTGTGTTGGGGCACAGGCCACTCAGCCTGGGTCCTCCTGGGTTAGGCTATCCCAACACAGCTAGCCCTTCAGTCCAGAAACGACAACTCTGCTCCAGTCTCTGCACCATTCATGGTATCTCCTTCCTCCAACATTCCTAGCCCCATTGGGTTTCTCTTGCCTCCTTCTACTGCCTAGGATCTCTGAAGGTCAAGCCTTGTCCCGCCCCTCTCACTGTCCAGTTCCAACCCTGATCTTCTCCCCTTGGGGTGGCTCCTCACACAGGTCCTGACTGATTTCTCTCTCCCATCGTGGAGTCTTCAGGGTGTCTTCTTGTCTAAGGCATCACCTAGCTTTCACTGCACTCATGAGCAGTCTTCACGCTGCCATCCTGTTGCTGTCCTTTGCCTAGGCTAGACCTGCTGTTAGGGGTACCTCCTCACCAGATCTTATCCCCATCAGCTATGGGCCCAGTGCATTTTCCCATGACCCCCCAAAATGCTTCTTCTAACACTCATTTGTGAGCCACTCATTGAAGCCTTGGCTTCTTCATCTCCCCCTGCCATGAGCCTCTGGTAGGATTAGAGAGAGGGTGGTGGGTCTCCACAATGAGCTGTGTGCTGACATTTTCAAGGGATGCTAAGAGCTTCTCTTCCCAGAGACATTTTAAACTGTAGGTCCATGCCAGCCTTTTCTTTATGGGAGTTGCCTTTCACGTCTGAGCCTGTTTTTAATCATTGCTTTCTTATTTGCCTGATTTTGAGAGCATTCTTTAATATGTATTTATTTTATTCCGTGTGTATGTGTGTGTGTGTGTGTGTGTGTGTGTGTAACTGTACTCATTGCCTATAAGGGTCAGAAGAGAGAATTAAATCCCTGGAACTGGAGTTACAGATGATTGTGAGCCAACATGCAGATGCTGGGTTCCCTGCAGGCGCAGCAAGTAGCCCTAACTGCCTAGCCGTCTCTCCAGCCCTTTGCCTGACCGTTAATGCAAACACTGCAAACACAAACAAGCCACGTGTGTTTTCCGTAGCCTTAGATCGTTCTCCCTGTGGGCAGGGAGGTGAACGTTCACCAACCTTGAGGCCCACGAGGCTGAGGCATGAAGAAGTTTTCCCAGCATTGCTGTTCTCATGGGGACTTTCCATGACAATGAGAGAGAGGCAGGCTTTGTGGTAGGAGTGGGGGGTGGGGGGTGGGGGAACTGCATGTTTTCACTCAAGTGGGGTGTGGAATCCAAAACAAACCAAACTCACAGAAGCAGAAAGAAGAGTGATGGCTATCAAGAATGGTAGGGGAGAAAGAGAAGTGGGGATCATTGCCAAATGGGTGAGAGTTCACAGTTCTTCAAGCTGAGCGAATCTTAGAGATCCACGGGGCAGCACAGAGCCTCATTCAGTCCATTGTACCGTGCATAAGCCTTCGTTGAGTATGTGAGCTCCGAGGGCTGCTCATGCCCTTCACCACTGTGCCTCAGAATTACTCTTTGGTAGGCCCTCTGTAGCAGAAATCCCAGCCCTTACTGAGGGCTCAGGTTCCCTGGGTTAGGAATCCGGACTGAACCCTTAATCGGGGACCCTCATCATCCCCATCATCCTTTGTGTTGATAGGCATCTTCTGAGTGCACGTTAGTCATCATGAATCATAGTTATCAGGCCCACCCGTGTTGACCTCACAATCCAAGAGGGGAACCGTGTTTCGAATAGGTATGGGAAGGGGTTAGTTGCGGTTTAAGCAGTAGCTAGATGCAGAATATCACTGAATAGATACCCAGAGAGAAGAGAAAAGGGCTGGGGGAGAAGAGGGGTGTGTGGGGAACTCATATTAAATGTTCTCAGCTCAAAACATATAAGTAAATAAATAAGATCCTGGGTGGTATAGCCATGAAAGAGTGATGTTGAGCTCTCTGCAGGAGTGTCAGGGACTTCAGGTAGGTCTCTTGACAGTAGTACCATTTCTCACGGGGCGGTCATAAAGTTGCAGAGAGCCCGGAACAGCCCCCATGGAGACAGAGGCTGAAAACATGTCAGGGACAAAGAACCAAAGACCTAAGTAAAGGGTTTGAAGCAGAGTCAGATGGGGTGCCTGTGGAGTGGAATACTGTGACGTAGGGTTGGGGAGTAGTTGTTTTATTTGCAGACCCAAAAGCAGGTTGGGGGCTCAGCAGGAAAATGGTTGCAGAAATACTTGCAGTAGGTCATGGCAACATTCCAGAACTGTTAAGCAAACCAGCCCCCACCATCAGTCGGGTAACTGGGGGTGAACTGAACCAGTTGGTGCTACCATTGTCTGGATGTGTGGAGAGAAGGACAGGGCAGGGCACACAGAGGGCACCATGTCCAATAGAACCTGGTGCCTGTGGGATTCTCTGTCCCAGCGAAGTCTGAGCCAAGGAGCCTGACCCAGTGTGAGGGGCCAGGCCGTGCTTCCTCTCGGCAGTGTGGACGTGCCTGCCAGACACTTGCAAGGTCCTAGGGGAACGTCTGACTCAGCAGCTCCGTGCTGGCTTCAGCTCTACCTTTGGCCAGGCCTGGGCTTAGCAGCGGAAACACCACCTCATTCTTCCTCCTGCAGGTCCTCCCTCACGAGCCGGAGCGTGTACACGTTGCTTGCTCTTCCCTGAGGGAATGAGTGTATCTGGGGGAGGGGAGGGACAAGCATCCTGTTTCTGCGGGGTCACAGGGAGGAAGGACAGCAACCTTTGGGGCAGCTACTGTTTTTGAAGCAGCCGACCTGTGTTGGCCCCACAGGAAGAAGGGGCCCTGATCATCGAAGGCCTCCTCAACATCGCCTGGGGACTCAGACGACCCATCCGGCTGCAGATGCAGGATGATCGGGAACGGGTGCACCTGCCGTCCGCCTCGTGGATGCCTGAGCGGCCCAGCTACCTGCAGTGAGTGCCTGGCCTGTGGGGCAGAGCCAGGGGCTTCCGTGACATCTGTTATCATGAGCACCACGTGATTCACCCCATTATATGTGGAGTGTCCCCAGGCGTGGGGTCGATGCCCCACTGCGGTAGGGGGCTGAGGCATGGGAGCGCAGAACAATCTCCTCTCGTGTTCGGTGGTTACCTCAGTCCTTCCTAAGCTTGCATACCCCAACATGCAGGCTTACTTAGGGTGCCCTCCCTGGTGATGATTATATGGCATTTCTCCCTCCTCCAGGAGAATAGTCATGCTCCCAACACGTGTTTTATGGTGCTGGGGACTGACCCCAGGACTAAGTGCTGTACCAATGAGCTATGTCCTCAGCCACTGGGATCTCCTTGGAAGGGAATGTCAGGCATTCACAGGAATTTATCTTCCTGCCACCACTGTTTTGCATCAGTGACAGATTCTGTTTGTATGAACTTGCCAGGATTTAAGATCACATTTATTTCACCATCAGGAGAAAGGCCGTTAGTCTGAGTGTTGCTTCTTCTTGTAACGCCCCTTCAGAGGCAAACATTCATAGTTTTGTCCCTGCCAAGTGTGCAGGTAAGATGGGCATGGTGACGTAAATGTTGCTGAGATCACAGCACTCAGTAAGCTGAAGGGGGAGGATTGTGAGTATGAGCTAAGCTACATGCTAAGATACTATTATAAAAAAAAAATACCATATGAAGGATTGGAGAAAATGATCTGTAGCTATGAGCACTTATCGCTTTTGCAGAGGACCTGGGTTCAGTTTCCAGCATGCATATGGTGGTTCAGAACAGCCTATAACTCCATTTCCAGGGGACCCAGTGTCCTCTTCTGGCCTCCGTGGGCTCCTGAAACATGTAGTGCACAGAAACTCACATAGCAAATACACATGCACATTAGAGAGACAGATAGATAGATAGATAGATAGATAGATAGATAGATAGATAGATAGATCTTAAAAGCTAACACTTGCAGATGAAATAGGTACTTGGGTAAACATGCACCTTGTTAACACACTAGCTCTTAACCCCCAGTGTCCCTCGTCGTCACTGTTAACAAAATTTAGAGCCACATAGATTTAGAACATAAAGACTCCTTAGATAGGCTCCAAGTGTGACTCATGACCCGACCCCAACCCTCGTCAAGGTAAAAAGCCTTTCAGCCATCCGCAGACCCTGTGCTCCAAGGGACTCCTTTTTCATCCTTCCCACTTCCTCTGTACAGAATGCTACCTACCTCTCATTATGCATGTTCCTTCTCTAACCTGATACTGTCTTCTCTGGCTTGGGGTGGGGATCAGTCCTGCCAAGAAGCCTAGAGATTTGATCCCCAAGGTTAACCTTGCCTGATTCCTTAGATCCACAACACCCTCAACAAACCAAGAAAGCATTTTTGGCAGTAACCTGTGTCCCAGGAATGCATGGGCACCAGCTTTGCACGTGGGGGTCTGTGATGCATCCTAGAATAGTTACTCAGTCTAAAGGACGGACACCCACTCCTTCCAGCAGATGCTTCGGGGAGCTCTCTGTTCTACTGATAGAATTCACCACACCCGGCCTCTGGGCTCCTCACTCGTGTCCTGCCTGTGAACGCAGTAGGGGGCCTTTCTCTGTGGCAGCCACTTGAGTATTGCGCTTCTCGGTTTTCAGAAAGGAAGCGGCACCCCAGGACAGCAAGGTCCCTACGGAGGAGCCTAGAGCTCAGCCTGCAAACAAGGCCGAGGTTTCCAGAGATAGCACAGGTAAGCAAAGCCCGTAAGATCCCAGTCTGTCTTGGGTGGTAATGCACAGTCTCTACAGAACAGCCATGAGGAATTGCCACAGCAGCTGCATCTGTTTTGTGAGGGGCCCTTGCTAAGCATCTGTACAGCTGGAGACAGGTGCCATGCACACTCCGTTCTTTTATGGACAAGGAAGCAGAGGCTTGTAAAAGTGTCACCTTGGTTCTTGGCCTGAAGTCTCCCAAAATGAGCTGTGATATAAAAAAAAGAAGGGGCTCAGCAGAGGGTGCTGTCCCCCTTTGTCACAAGTCTCTAGGACCTCATCCTCATACTCCAAGATCGGCTGTCATTCATCTGTGCTCTTTCTACCCCTTCCTTAGTTCCCAGTGAAGGACCTGTCCCTGAGTGAGTGCTCAGGGGACAGGGATGGAGGGACCACATACCTCAGTGGGTACGGTGAGATGTACTGTGGCACTGGCATGGCCCCCGCTTCAGCATCCAAGCCAGGATCAGCACCACCAGAGCCATGCACTACAAACAAAATCCAACAGTCAATGCCACTGCTGGAGCCATGGCTCTTGCTGTCACCAACCACCACCACCCTCCTCCACCTTTTTATCTATTTCTTTCTGCAGGACCCCTGGAGGAGGATGAAGAGGAAGAGGCTCCACAGCTCATGCGGACCAAGAGTGATGCCAGCTGTATAATCCAGAGAAGGACCAAGTCTCGGGGACCCAGTGAAGCCCAGAAGCTACGACGGCACCGGTTCTCCATCAATGGCCATTTTTATAATCACAAGGTGATGTCCCCATCTGCTCTTTCCTGGGCCCTGAAGCTGAGAGAACAGGAATTATTTACCAGCACAGAAGAGCAGGCCCTGTAACATTCAGCATTAGTCCTTGTGCTTATGCTTATGCTGATAACTGCTTATGCTCCATGCTGAAAGCTCAAGGGAGTGACTAGATCTTCTGCAAAGCTACAAAGCATAACATTTCCATCCACAGCCAGGGCTTCCCGCAAATGCCCACCACCTGTCTGTTCTCTAAATTGATGGAGAAAGCAAGAAAGCCTGAAGCAGACAATAATGCCAAGTTTATCTTTTATTAGCCCATTCTTCGTTTTGTTTTTGTTTTCAAGACAGGGTCTCTTTGTGTAGCCTTGGATGTCCTGGACTCACTTTTTAGACCAGGCTGTCTTTGAACAAAATCCTTGAACTCACAGTAACCCTCAGGTGTCTCTGCTTCCCAGAGTACTGGGATTACAAGCATGTGCCTCCATGCCTGGCTTAATTAGCACATTCTTGTGAGGTTCCCACTCAGGGTCCCTTGATCATTCCAGGGGGAACATCAAGTACCCAGCTGCCTCTCTCACCGGGTAATTAAGCTGGGCTGCTGAGGTGTGCCGAGAGGCATGAGTATCTTTTCCCAGAGAACCTGGGAATCTCTAAGTTCCCAGCACTTTTCCTTTTGTGCAATTATGCATTGTACTGACCCCAGAGAAAGATCACCTTCCCCCAATTACATCATGCTACTAACAAATGAACTATGAAAGGAGAAGCTGATTGTTACTATAAGTGGAATGAGTGGCCGTCTGGGTGCGGCCCTGACTGGAGTGTACTGTGACCGGCCATATCCTGCCATGCCGAGGAACGAAGAGGGAAACTTCCAGTCAGAGCAGCTGTGCTTCTTAACGGGTGATTCATAGGAAGGAAGCATGGGCTGCAGAGAGAGAGGCTTTAACCAAAACAAAAAGCCTTTTTATTTTCACCTCTACACACAATGTTCTTAGAAATTGGGTACAGATTCTTTAAGCCACAAACAATGAAAAATACTAATTGCCAGCCTTGATTTCCTGGAGTACTTGTGGCTATCATTTCCCCACACTGTTAGAACTAACAGCATGGATTTTATTCCCAGACCCATTGAATCGTAGCTGTGCCCACTCCTTGGTCCAGGCTATTTGGATTCAGATGTGGTCCACTCAGATAAGACAGCAACCCAAGGACCTCTGTTTCTACTCGATTGCTTTCATGTCCAAAGCAGGTTTTGTGCAGTACAAAAACAGCCTTGTTGACAAGAATTATTGGAATGAACTTTGCATTTTCTTTCAGCATTAGAGCAGTGGTTATCAACCTGTGAGTTGCTACCCCTTTGGAGGGGTCAAATGACCCCCCTAAAGGCCCTCAGAAACCACAGATATTTACATTATGATTCATAACAGTGGTAAATCTCAGTTATGAAGCAGAAATGAAGTTAATTTTATGATGGGGGGTTGGGGGCCTGGTCACAACAGCCCAAGGGTAAATTTAAGGGTTGCAGCCATAGGAAGGTTGAAAACCACTGCACTGAAAGCCCGTTTCCTGTACCGTCTTTCACCTGGAGTATCTCTGGGTCTCAACTAGAGTCAGCAGGCCCCTGCGGTGGAGACAGTTTTGCAGGAAGGCACCAGCATTAAGGGGGCAGAAAGCTCATGAGGTTTCAAGCATTGCAGACTCCCTCATCACGGCACTGTCCTTTCCGATGGATGACCCTGACCAGGCAGTCAACCTCCCAACCCTAGGTGTCGTTTCTCAGAAAACAGGGACAGTTGTAGGTACTTCCGAGGGCCTTTGTGAGAATTGGAGTGTACATTAGGTGTGTCACAAGTTCGGTGCCCGGTTGTAGTGTTTCCAGGGGGCTTCCTGAGCCTCAGTGTCCTGGTGCATTTCCTGCACATGTCCCGATGAGCTCATCAGATGTTGAAGGCATAAGGTGACGATGTACCCAGCCCCCGAGCCACAGTGCATCACTGCTCAGAAGCTCATTCCCCCGGAGAGTTTTGTTTGCTTCTCCACAGGATTGTGGGACTGACTGGGGGCTGCGTAGACACTGTTGCTGCCCAGCATTGAGAGAAGCATTGTATTTCCTAATGTCGCTAATGGTGGGTGGGAGGAGCCACACTTAGAGTTTAAGATATGGCTTTATGTATATGTATATTTTTTTGCACTGTCTAAAAGTCAAAAATTGTGAGTTACACCATCATAAATTAGAGGCTTATCTGTGTGATGTGTTATAGGAAAAGGCAAGATACTTGCAAAAACCTAACATGCCTCCCATTCAAAGACTTATATATATATACACACACCAGGCATGGTGACAAAGTACTGTAATCTTGTCTTGAGGCCTTATCTAAAAACAAATTAAAAAAATAAAGAAGTGGGCTGGGGACATGCTTCATGGGGGTGGAGTACTTGTAGGTGCTTAGCATGTATAAGGCCCTGGGTCCAATTTCCAGGACCACAGAAGAGTAAAAGTTATCTGCTTGACATGCTAAAACTCACTTGTAATCCTGGCCCTCAGGAGGCTAAGGCAAGAAGGTCTCGAGTTCTAAGCCAGCCTGGCCTGTATGGTTAGAACTTGTCTCAAAAAGTACGCATGAATGCTTATATAAGCAATTGTAGAGAGACCCCTGTAGCTGGAACATGGAGTATGCTTGTGGTGAGGGCTTGGCATCACGTGTGCCTAAGAGTGGGAAGACATGCTCGAGGTATACAGGCCATGGGAAGCCTTCCCATGTTTTGTAAAGGGGGATTCTGACACTGTCCCATATAGGTTACAGGCCTGGTGTTCCTCTCCGAGGGTTGTTTCTGAACCATCAGGTCTCTGATGAGTGAGAGATGTAGAGAGACCAGGGTGGGATTGTATGAAGTGGGGCCAGGCCACACTTAGTTATTTGGCATATTTTAAAAAGGTAATACCATGGGCAGCAGTATGGAGAAAGTGCTAGACGGTGAGAGGGAGGGGCCTGTTGGCAAACGGCACACTGTGACTGGAGGCTTGGACAGCACTTGGGGGAGACTGGGTGTATTTGGAAGCTTTCAGCCTAAGTTCACGGATGTTGATGCTAAAGCAGTCAGTAGGAAGAGTGACAGAGAGCTCGTGTCCTACCCCAGTGAATTACTTCCGGGGTCCTGGTTTCCAAGATCCAGAGAGCTACTGCTGATGGATGTGTTCAGTCTCAAGCATCTTTTTCAGAGAGCTCTGATGACTGTCCCCCTGAGTGTCCCCTGGTCTAGGAACAAACCTCATGCTCAAGGGTTTTCACAAACGGGCAGGGACAGGTGTTCTCAGAAATTGTCCCCAGCTGCTCGGGTCTGCTTGGAACTTGAACATTAGCCTGTGCCTCCTCTGGGCCTGCGCTGAGCTATCTATCCATCTGCCCTACACAGACCTCCGTGTTCACTCCTGCCTATGGGTCCGTGACCAACGTCCGGGTTAACAGCACCATGACCACCCAGCAGGTGCTTACCCTCCTGCTAAACAAGTTCCGGGTACGTGTGACACGGGAGCAGCCTTGCCTGGCTGCTGGTGCTTTGATGGGTGGTGGAAGGACTAGGGGTTGCTGGGATTGGCTGACTCCGTTCTGGAGGAGAAAGTCGGCGAGCCAGCGTCTCTGGGAATTGAGGCAAGGAAGGGTGCGGGGCTGGTCTGTCCCCTTGGTGAAAAATGCTGCGGTCTGATTTCCTGTGCCTGCCTGTGCAGGTAGAAGATGGCCCCAGTGAGTTCGCACTCTACATTGTCCACGAGTCTGGGGGTAAGTGCCAGCTTCTGGTGTTCACGTGGCAAGCTTGCCACTTCTTCTTCCCCACGCACCTTCCTCTCCACCGTCAAACTGGGCTCCATTCTGAGAATCCCTCCAAAACAGTGCAGGAAGAACCTTCTCCGGGTTTCTCCCATGAGAGAACCATTCTGTGGCTCAGATAGGAAGGCAGGACTTGTGTGCCAGTGGCTGCGACCTGGATCTGTTCTTGTGGAACCTCTGGGGCCCTCTGCAGCCCATGGACAGCTTCTTGTCAATGTCCCCAAGCCTGTGGTCCCCTCTGTCTACTCTACCCCTATTTTCCCTGAGCCAAGCCTCTATACAGTGATACTATATAACAGGACAGTTATTCTCCTTACACTCACTGGGGAGTCCTACAAAGTACGGAAACCAAATGCAGGTTTACAAGAGGGAAACAAACTAGTGTGTTAATGGGTCCGGTCATCACACAAAAACCATGGAGGTTCCCAGAGATGAGTCAGTCAAAGTGCCCAGAGTTCTTTTGCCATAGCAAGGAAATCAGCTTTTACAGAAGATGAAGGGGGCGTGGGAGGAGACTTTGAGCCAAGATAGTGAACAAGGGGAAGGCCAAGTATCTGGAGCTGATTGAAGATGAAGACAATGTTTCACGGCATTTGCCATGTGGATTCCTCTGTCGCTGCCTCCGGGCTCAAGGGGTCTAGAGTTGTGTCCGGTGACTGGCTTCTGTCCGTGGCAGAAAGCAGATGTGAGGTCTCAGCAGATGTCTTGCTGTCAGGCAAGTGAGGAAAGGCATCTGTTTCTTCTCACTCGCCTTGGCTTGACACAATCCTGAGTCCAGCTAGCTGCCCTCGGATGGCCAGTTCTGCTGCCCCTCAGTGGAATCATGTGTCTGTCTCCTAATATGCGATCCATAGAGGTCTGAGAAAGATACCCTGAACATCTACTTTTTATCATGCCCCTGTCCTGGTGAAATAAATATAAATAAATAAATAAATAAATAAATAAATAAATAAATAAATAAATAA